GCATCAAGCCCAGAATTATCATGCGCTTTCATAGCTTGAACCTTTTCCTCAAGGGCACAAAACCTCTCCTCCATAGAATCAGTCAATGGCATCATCTGAGACTGGGCAGGAATGTTCATTGGCAAAAGGTTACACTAGCCAAATGATCATACAAGGGGTTGGTCGACATAGTGAAACCTGATGAAGAGTTAAGATTCTCCATCCCACTTTTTCGAACATTAGCCTCTAACATAGTTACCCGAGATTTTCACTTGATTAGTCTGACTAGCTCTTCGAGTTGTCTGTGCTCCTTTCGACTCCACTTGAACTCACTTCAACTTCTTTGCGGCTACCACAAGTTCAGTATGAGTGTCGGGAAATTATCTGGAGGTTATGGAGAATGGATGGATAAGCTTTCTGGTTGAGAAAATGATATGCAATGCAAATGAAATGCAAATGCAATGTAGGCACAAACAGGATCCAGGATAACATAAGCAGGTCAAAGCTCCCTAACCGGTAGGTTACACTAGGCAAGTTCTAGATTCTATACCCACATACCCACTCACGGGATAGCTTCTGTGTTGATGGATAAGGTTCCCAGGATTACGGACACCGATCGCATCAACATCACGCAACAGGCTAGCTGTATTATAACGAGAGTACGATAGGATCTCTCCTGAGCGGAGTCCTCATGCTACGCACACGAGGAACGGGTCCTCGGAGACTAACACTACACGACTACCAATATAGAAACTGGTTCTAAGAGTAGTTCCCAGAGTCATGGACCCTTCATGAATCAAGTCGTGCAACAGGCTAGCTGTGTTACGATAGGACCTATGAAAAGGTATATTCTGGAGGAGCTTTCATGCTAGGCACACAAGGAGCGAGTCCTTGGGGACTAACACTAATCACTACCAATTCTAAACTATGTTTTCTCTCTTCCTTTTCCAAAGCTCGGGTGTAGAGCTTTACTTGCAATGCTATCCCCGAATCCAGCAGGCAGATGCAGGCAGATATAATAAACAACATACGATAGAAAGAGAAAACAAGAAATAAACAATAGGAGAAAATAAACATAAAGAAAAACAGTTAAGCAAAAGGTTAGCACTCTCAAATCGAGTCAAGTTAGGCTTGACTCTCTCTTGCATAGGGAAATGATTTGTCCCCAGTAGAGTCACCATCTATTGTACCTCGAAAAATACGATCCTCGCGATGGACGCGGAAAATACGTTCGAAACAGAGTCGCCACCGAACTTTATTTATTCCAAGGCAGGAATAGGAAAATATCGATAAAACCTTTAAGGATATAAGAACATGGTCATCGCAACCAATATTCTAGGTTTGGGAGTCGATTACATGAGGGGAAGGTATTAGCACCCCTCATGTCCGTTGTACTCAACGGGAACCTCTTGATTCGATTCAAGAGAAAAGTTAACTACGCTTGTTTGTTTTCTTCTAAAGATTCTCTTATAGGGGGAAATGGGTGGTTTTTGGATAGGGTGCTCGCCAAGGATTGGGGTCCTTGTGCCTACGTATCTTCACTTATAAGAAGTGGAAAATCAGAGCATTCGTAGTTCGTGGGACTACGGGAAAAATAGGGGATTGTGCTCGCCAATATCATCGCAATCTTGTGCCTACGTATTCTCATTGATAAATGAGAAATCATAGCAGCCGTAGTTCGGCTAACTACGGGTAATGGGTTTGAAATGTGAATGAGTGCTTAGGTCGCATTCTAACTGCTAAACATTGGCTTGTCTGCTCGCTAGGGGAGGCTGAAGCACTAGTTTGTTATGCGCAGAAGAAGAGACTAAACAATGTTCTTTGGAACAGGTATTTGGATTGGAAATCGCACGAGGGCGAGGAATTTAGTGTTTAAAAAGTTTCAATCGCACGGGGGCGAGAAAAGAGTTGGAATGACTGAACATGTATTTAGGGTTTCGATCGCGCGGGGGCGAGAAAGAGGAGTTTGGTTAAGTTATTTGATGGAGAATGACGACTATTCGATAAACGAGACGTCGGCCTTGCAATCAATTAATCGGGATATTATTGGAATGCTAGATCCCAATAAAACCTTTTCATTCGAACAATTACGAAATATGTTTGAGAAAGTTTCAATCGCGCGAGGGCGAGAGAAGAGAGTTGGATTGAATATTTTAAGGGAGAATGACGACTACTCGATAAAAGAGACGTCAGCCTTGCAACCAATTAGTCGGGATATCATTGGAATGCTAGATCCCAACGATACCTTTTTCATTCCATTAATTATGAAATTGTTTTTGAATGGACAATGATGATATTTGTCCAAATAGTTAGGGCATGTATTTTATAGACGAAAGGTCGAGTAGTCCACAACCTAAAGCGTACGCCCCAAGAGTGTTTACTCAAGAATTCCAGGAGTGCGAGACTCCAAGAACTCAATTCTTTCACGGTTTAGTTAAGAAAATAGTTTGGATTTGACGTATGGTTAGAAACATACTAGGGTTTAGACTCGATCGCACGAGGATGAGGAACAAGGTTAGAGAGGTTGTATGTTTAGGAGGAATGACGACTATTTGATAAGCAAGACGTCGGCTTCACAACCAGTTAGTCGGGATATCGTTGGAATGCTAGATCCTAACGACATCTTTTTCATCCCATTAATTATGAAATAGTATTTGTTGGACAGTGAATATACTTGTCCAAATAATTAGGAGAAGTGTTTTAGAAACGAAAGTTCGAATGACACGCTAACCGAGGCGTACGCCTCAATAGTTGTCACTCTCGAATTCAAGGAATGCGCGACTCCAAGAACTCGATCCTTTCGTGATTTCAATTAAGAAAATAATTTGAACATATTAGCGTAGGGGTTAAGGTAAGCTCATTACTCGAAACCCTACTTTGAAGGATTTAGACAAAGTTTGAGGTGTTTTAACGATGAAAGACGAAACGACCCCAACTCAAGGTGTGCACCTCAAGAGCGGTCGCTTAAGGACCCAAGGAGTGCTAGACTCCAAGGATCCACCACTTTCATATAAATTCAAAAAGAATTTTTACTTATTCTAATCTAAAAAGTATTTTGAACTTAATGAAAGAAAAAGAAATAAATTTGATAAAATAGAATCTAAATAAAATTAAATTGTAAAACAAATATCAATTATCATAAATCATAAATAAAATCTAAAAAAAACTAATAAAATATCACTAATATTAACTTGATTATATATAGGAACATGGTTAACTATACTAAATCAAAGGCATGTTGGGGTGCTAATAGAAACAAACAAAGAGGTCATACCACAAGGGCCCATACGGCCCAAGGGTACCCATTTTCGGAAGGAGACTACCAAGGAAACCCAACCACTTACTAGTTCATGCGTATGGGGATTTCATTTCTTATCTAGCCCCAAATTCCAACTCCATCATAAATTAACTTATAGAAAACAAACAAAATAGGAAGAGAATAAATAAGGAAACACCACACGCGTCCCAATTCTAACATAAAGAGGGATAATTTCGATTTATCTTAAAACAAAACAAATATTGTGGTTGCCAGGTGGCCGCTTGAGGATGAGATAAGGTAACACCATTATTAAACGTGGGGGATTGGGGAATCCCAACGGATGATGGATCATCCTACTTTAAAACAAATCCTTATAAACAAAGAAAACCATAAACAAAACCTCGTGACTTACTTTCCCTCTCTCAATTTGCAATCAGCTTTCATTGTCTCAAATTCAAAATGAAATATCCCCCTTTCTCTGAACCCTATTCCTTCTAACCAATTCACAAATCCCTAACCCATAACTTAATCTCTAACATACGAGCCCTAAATCACAAATCTAAACCTAAACCCTAGAACGAAAATGAAACTCAGAATGATGAATGCACATAGCATGTGATTGGTGTTCAGCTCAACAAAACCAATATTGAAGGTTAATGAGGTCAACGACTACAGAGAGGAAATGAAGCAAGTACCTGGCCGGAGCAACTCCGGTGACGCTGCTTTCGTCAACACTGAAACGAGTTTATGGTAAGCACTCTACCAATCCTCCGCTTCTTTTCTTCTTTATCTGCTATATTTCTTCTTTCTTCGTGCTATGAATGGCTCAACTTTGAGTAATTTTTGAGTTTCGAGGTGAAGCCTTTATTACTCACTAGTGAGAGCTTTGATGAAAGGTAGATTTCGGCAGAGTAACGATATGGTTACTTTTCTCCGTTTTTGCCAATGAATGGAGTTGCATTTATAGAGGATTTTAGGGTTTGGCTGGTGCGTGTGAACTTAGGGATTTTTAGAGGAATATGCTCTCATTCGTGTGAATACGAGCTGTGCAATCCTTAAAAACCGTTAGAAGGAATTTTTGCTGAGATTTTGTGGGGACCAGGGGTAGTGACTCATTCTTTGTTCTTGTCTTTAGTGTTTTTGCAAAATATCTGACTTTCACTGAATTTTTACCACACGTAAAATGTACCATTTTTACTGCTATTGCTTTTGCTGATGTATGGTTTTTGGCTGACTCAACATGATTCTTGACTCTTTGTTAATTTTGTTGTCTTACATTAAAATTATGCAGGACCTTGATGTGATGGTGATGACTTTAAGCACAAAGCTTTTGCAAATTTATCGTAGGCTGTGACAAAGTCATGCTGCCGGTTTTGACGGATTGACGAAAGTAACAATCACCAAAGGTAAATACTTCTTCTCATGATCTTCTCTTTGGTGACATTTGATCCACTAGCTTCCTTCCATAACCTTCTGCATATGTTTTTGATAGCTTTGGTATACGACACGTACGAGAAGGCAGCATCAAAGTCCACCAAAGTTGACCTCTATGTGATCTGCTTAGAAGACCATCTCTTGGTAAGTACTAAGGTTAAAAAAACACACTTGCTTGTTGGGAATCAAACCTATACGCTTCTGCTCTTTCAAATTTCTCTTGTGACAGATTTCTATACTGTGAACTCTGCTAATCTCTCTGTGTTTTGCACCAATTTTCATGTACGCTCTCCAACTTGGTATGACTGAACTGAGTCTGTGCAATGCGCTAGCAGGATTGGGCACCATGCTTGGCTTTAGTGTGCAGAGTTAATCCTGTTTCAGAGTTGAATGTCTTGCTGCAGCTACTGCAAGAGAGATGTCCTCCGGACTTGGGAGATTTGGCATCAGTGTTTGGAGTCTTTCCAGCTTTCTTAGGGTGAGGGGTTGATGTATACCCAACTTTCTTACCATCAGTCTTCTATGGAGTGGCATTTTAGATTTCTTGGAAGGAACTAGAGTTTTGGATGCAGATTCATTGGCCCTCTTTTTCTCCTGGTCCACCTTCTTCACAGGAGTCTCTTCATCATCATCTTCATCAGAGCTATCATCAAGGTCATCACTAGATTCAATCATCATAATCATCATCTTTTTCCTCCTTTGGATCAACAACCTTCACTTGTTTTGCAAATGTACCACTCTTAGCAGGTTGATCAGCCTTGACAGGTGCACCAGGCAGTAGCTTTCTTAGCTTCAGAAACTTTCAGGTCATCAGCCTTTGTTTCTGTTTTCCTGTTTTCTATGGGTTGAGCCAAAGAAATTTCTTCCTCATAACTTTCAGAAAATTCATCTTCATCACTATATTCATTGTCAGGGTAGTAAGCTTTATATCCACAGAAATGGACACTAGAAGTTTTGGAACTGTGAGAAAGCTCAAACTCCTTGTCCAGAACCAACTCAAGAGTAGTCTGAGGAATTTTCTCCCTGTTAAGGGTTCCCAAAACAAGCTTCTGGTCACCAACTTTCAAGCAAAGAACAACATGCTCATTAGCTTTGTCTTTCTTAGATTCACCAAGCGCAACCTGAGAAGGATGAATGCGACTTCAAATTGATGTGGATCAACCTTGACAGATTCACCAACCTTGACCTCAGCACCACAGAACTCCATTGAAGAAAGAGAGATAAGTTAATGAGTATGCAAGGGTGCTTATGATTGTTGTTAGTTGGGGAATGCAGTTGTCGCCGGTTGATCGAATATGTTGAAGAATTAGCGTAAGTTGAGATAGTCTTGGTATGGTGCATTTGGGAATTTTGTGAGTTGTCTTTTACTAACTCATTTTTCATTCCTTTACGAGTTTTCGAATATGAACACCGTTGTTTTGGTGCAGCTTGAATTATGGTTGAAAAAGACACTTTGATATGGATCTTAGGTATAATCTTTTCCCTTGTTTCATTATTCATTTGAATTATTTAGCTTGAGTTTAACATGCATCATCTGCTACATATTATGTTCCCTACTGCCGCGCCTTATTTTCGCTTTTGCTACTTACTGGTGCTATTGGCCTATACATGCTTAAAAATGCTTCCAAATCAGCTTTTTCGTTTTGAAACACATATGATCTTCTGGTTGTACTATCCACTTATTCTATTCGTTTTTGTTTCAGGTGTATTTGTCTTGTATGAGTGAGGATGATGCACTTGAAGCTTGAATGAGAGTTGGCGTGAATAAGCATGAACTTTGGCATGAAAGTGAATTTTCCCATGAAGACTTAGAATGAAAGCTTAGATAACTTAGTCCCTTAAGTCTAGACCTTGTGAATTTTATAATTATGCTATGTCAACAAAAACAAGAAGTTGTATTCCAACCGTAATCACCTTGAAACTCACTTTTGAACTTCCAATTTCTCTTGCTTCATAACCATATGTAAATGGCTTGCACTTAGTAGCTTTTGTAGTATCGGTACATTGCAATTGTATGCAACAGTATTTGGTTTTGCACCTTGAACATTTGACAAGTATTGAATTAATGGATGAGACTTTGTTTTATATTGATTGTTTGGACCAAACTTGAGGAATTATGAATTGGCGGTTATTATAGTTCCATTGCTTTCTCATTTCTTAAAGACTTAAACATGGTTTGAAGTAAATATGCCCCACAGATAATTTTATACTGATATCATTGTTCCATTCAATGTTGACTTCAATAAGCAATCCAAACACGACATCAGACATCTATGTTTCTTGGTGTTATTCAAACTTCATAACAAGTTTTTTTTGTGCAATGCAAAAGTAATACAACTCTATCCTACAAATCCATCCTTGGGAAGGTCACATTTTGGAAACTTCTTAAAGTGTAGCTTTCCTTACAATTATGGCTTTTACATTTCAATTGTGTCATGCTTCTCTGTTTGAGATCAACATCTTGGCAAGAACTCACACTTCCAATATGTGCACACAAAATTTGGAGGGGATAATTTACACGATCATGGCTTGATAAGTGAAGGTTTTAAAAGGTAGGACAAATTTGGGGTATGACAATGGGTGTCAGGATGTATTCTCAAGGAGCTATTGTATCTGGATCTGTACGAATCAAGATTGATTTTATAGTGTTTGAGTAAGTTCAGCAGGTATGTTGAACCATGAGTTTAAAGCTGCTGCTTTTCTCTGTGTAAATATGTAGTTATTCAAGTGATTTCATCTGATGATTGAATGAGCACTCTCTATCTATAACAGGGGGATTTAATTCCTTGTCCATGGATTGTTGTTGTAGTGGTGTAGTCTTTACATTGATTTCTTAAGGATCAAGCAATTTGTGTATCTCTTGAGAGGCTGTGAGATGTCAGACTGGATATTCGGACACCATGTGCAGTTTTTCAGTTGAGTCTTACTTCGAAACATGATGATTTTGCTTTAGTTTTTGGGTTTGGATCTTATTGATGTGTTATGTGCATTTGAGTTTACTCCAATTTTTGGCTAAAAAGGGGGATTAAAGTATTAGTGTTATATGTTGTCCTGATGTTGTTATGTCACATGTATTGACATGATGACCAACATTGTGATAGGACTTTGCTACTGTTAAGGAAAGAGTAGTGTTTTGTTGTTGCTTGCTGAATGCAACTATTAAGGGGGAGCATGATAGTTTGTGAGGCTAGATGTACTGGAGAAAACTATTGTTGTTGCTGCTCTAATAAGTTTATATCTCAATATTTATCATGGTTTGGTTGTTTTAGCAAAAATTTGCCAAAGGGGGAGATTGTTGGTTCCATGGTTCTATGATTGACTAAATTTTGGTAAAACATAATTCTACACTAATGTTGAGCCAAATGTTATTACATCTTCATCAACTGTTATGACAATACTACTGTCATGTATTTCAGACAGATGTCATGACATCTTGGTCTGGTACAGCAGGCGCTGCTATTTTATATCTCTTGACATATGTATTTTGATTTGATGAGATCCTTTTGGATATACCTCATCATTATGCGCAGGTCAAGGAGATTTATTAGGAACAAAGTGAAGATTTAATTGGATTTCATAAAAAGAATATTTGAGACTTTTTAGGAAACTATAAAATATTAGTTCCTATTTTTGTGGAGAAGATTTTGCAGAAGATTTACAATGTGAAGATTTGGAGTTTAATTTGATTTGATTTGATCAAATCTGATTTAGTTTTAATTATAAGAAGATTTGGAGTTTGATTTGATTTGATTTGATCAAATCTGAATTGGTGTTAATTATGAAAAGGTTTGAAGAGTTATCTTATGAAAAGTTTTGAAGAATTATCTGATTTGATTTTATCAAATCTGAGGTAGTTTTTACTAAAGTCCAAGCCCATACTAGAAGAGTCTATAAATAAGTACTTGCTAGACCTAAAGAAGAAAAACATTCACAACAAGAAAATCGTGGGTGCAAAATAAAGGTTTAGGCTTTTGAGAGTCTTTTGTCTGTGACTTTATCAGCCACCCTTTGTATCTTTTGATGCACCGTGGTATACATATTTAAGTGGTATATTGTTCTTACTCGAAGCTTTAAAGTAAGAGGTGAGTATTGTTCTTGATTGAAGCTTTTAAGCAAGATCAAGTATTGTCTTTGAAGAGTGTCTTCTATGTTTTATTAATTTGTTGTTATCACTGTTGTGATTGAGGGGGAGCGAGAGGTGTCTCATATCAAGAGTGTCCTAGATAGAAGTTGCACTAGGTAGGGATTAAGTGAGGGGTTGTAAAGGAGGGAGTTTAGCTCTGAATTGATACTACTGATAATGGATTTCCTTCCTGGCTTGGTAGCCTCCAGATGTAGGTGATGTTGCACCAAACTGGGTTAACAATTCATTATGTTATTTATCTTTCTGCATTTAAAATTCTGCACAATTTAAATGGTTGGATAAATTGTTCTGTCAGTCTGCAGATGTTACAACATCTGTCATGACACTGTTAATTCTTAAAGTAAATCAAAATGCTCGTGTTCTGTCCTTGTTTTGTTTTTAGCAAAGATCAATGTCTCAACATCTCTTAGGATATCTGAAATCTGCATATCAGAGTTTCAAAAATGGTCAAGTCGAAGCCGCCAACAAGATAGTAATTGGACTTATCAAGAAACACGTTTCTAAGAAACCCAAGAATTGGCACAAGACATTAGATCAAATTTTATGGGCTTGTCGAACATCCCCTAAGGAGGCGACCAATTCGACTCCGTTTTGTTTAACGTTCGGTCATAACTCTGTTTTTCCAGCATGGATTTGTTTACAATCAATTAGAGTGCAACTTCAGGATGACATCTGTCAGAGCAAGACTGGAGCATGATGATGGACAAAATCGTGGACTTAGACGAAGAAAGGATGGCAGCGTTAGATAGGCTATTATGCCAAAAGACACGGGTGGCCAAAGCATATAATAAGAAGGTCAAAAAGAAGACCTTTGCAGTCAATGATTATGTGTGGAAGGCAATGTTGCCTATGGATCGAAGGGATCGGACGTTAGGAAAATGGGCGCCAAATTAGGAGGGACTATTCCAAGTAATCCAAGCATTCAGTAACAACACATACGAGATCTAAGAGATAGGTATGGATCAACAAATCATAAGAGTAAATGAGAAATATTTAAAGAAATATAAGCCTATGTTACAAGAGGTTCAAGTCCAAAAATAAATATTCATTAATAAGTGGCCCACATGTGTAGAGGGCCAAGACAGTGTACAAAATATCTAGAACGAAGTTACAAAAGTTCAACTAAATGTAAAATACAATTATGCTGGGAATTTTAATCTAAAGTTTTCGAAAAGGTTCTTCTCGTAAGCCACTTTACTTTCAAGGAGAGACTCCTTCTGTCACATCTTGTCAATAGTACCTTTCAGCGCAAGGGCCGTTTCAATATGAGCAATCCATTGGGACACTTCTTGGTCGATGACCTCTTGAGTAGGTAGAGGTTCATCTGAGTCAAAGAAAGCCTTCTGCTTTTCGACTTTCAGCAATTTTTCTTATAAGTTCATTCATTTGGGCCTGATAGTCGGATATCTGTTGGTCAAAGACGCGACGCTTGTCGGAACGCTCTTTCTTTTTGGTTTCAAAGTCCTCAAGTTCTTCTCACAAAGGGAGCTGAGATACCACTCACTCTTCATCTCATTGATCTTCACCCTAATTTAAGCATCAT